ATAGTCTGATATTTGTATACAATGAGACTAGATTGGAATACAGACAGAAATGCCTTAGAAGCCTGTGTAGGAGGAATCTGGCTAAAACGTAAAGGTAAGGATTAAGGAGACTGTTTTTGTTTTGATTCCATCTTAGCTGCAATTTTAAATAAGAACCCGTCAGTGTTTTAAGAAGTGGCTCCGTACAATTTAACTTGGATTTCATTAGCAGTTTTGCTTCTCAGCATATTTATAACATAATTTGTTTAAAATTGAAATGGTTTTCTTTACTTTTATGGTGGTTTGTTTGTTTGTTTATTTATGAGGCAGCGTCTCCCTCTGTCTCTCAGGCTGGAGTGCAGTGGTGCCATTTCACCTCACTGCAACCTCCACCTCCCTGGTTCAAGCAATTAAAGCTACCTGAGTAGCTGGCATTACAGGCGTGCACCACCACGCCTGGCTGATTTCTTAATTTTTAGTAGAGACAGGGTTGCACTTTGTTGACCAGGCTGCTGAACTTCTGGCATCATGTGATCCACCAGCCTCAGTCTCCCAAAGTGCTGGGATTACAGGCGTGAGCCACTGTGCCCAGCCTGTGCTGGTTTTTATACAGTGACCCTCAATTTATTGCAGTTTATCCCAGTGCTTATTGCCTTTTTTTTTTTTTTTTACTGTTAGGAACCTGTAGTCAATTCCTTCCTTCTTTGCAAAGGGTTTATTTAAAAGATTTGTAATTCTGCAAATTTTGTTGAAAGTACACTTCTTATATACTTTGGTACTGATATTTATATACCTACTTGACAAATCTATCTTTTAAGAAATTATTCTCAGCTTTTAAGTAACTGTCACATAACAGTGTATGTCTGGTATCCATTGGCTTCAGCTCCCCCGATACTATTTTCTTTTTGACTCAGCAGCTTTAAAACCAAAATAGTAAGATCTGTCTTGAAGCTACAGTCTAGCAAGAGAAGCAAACTATGTAAATTTAGACAGCTCTGATTAGCACAGTTCCCAAACTGTTGTATTATGCATTAACCCATACGGGCAGAATTTAAAATTGCAGTTTGGTGAGAAAAGTTTTAGAAGTGAAGCGTTTTTGAGAAAAGTATCAAAGATCAAGAAACACTCTTGACCTTTTAGGCTTTCTGCTCCAGTCTAGTTTTAATGCGGCGTTGTGTTGAACTTGCAAAACTCATAGGTTTATGCCCTCTTGTGGTCTGTCACCAATATAAATAGCACAAATAAAAATTTTAAGTACTGGAGAGCCTACTGCATGTTACTGCTATCCTTTATAAAAAAAATTTCTAAAAAGCAGCTTCTGAGGAACAACAGCTAAGAAATGATTATTTCTATTTTCCATATAAGTTGTGGACCTTAAAAATTGTCAAATGTTATTTTAACCCTTGGTGACAGAATGCATGTATATGTTAGCTGGACACTAATGAACAGAAAAATCTTAGTTCGTTAGGGTGGACTGTCCATCATTGTCCTTCTGGGCATCTAACCCTATTAATTTATAAATATCTTAAAAATATGATGTGGTGTGATAGTAATTATGGGGTTAGCACAGTACCCTTCCACCTTTAACTAAACCTAACAGATATACTAGTAAATGATGTTTGAGAACTATGTTGTTTGTTCTTACTTTTTTCATCTGAAAGAGGCATTGGAAGAAATAAGGATTATAATGTTAGTGAATTGGCGAACTTAAGCTCATGGAATTTGCTTTTACTGACGTGATTGGCAAGGTCTTATTCATGACTGTGGGACTGAGGAACTAGTGGAGGAGAAATAGCAACAGCAGCCAATGTTTTAAGACTGCCGATGTCACCAGTGTTTTTCTGCCGTTTTCCAGTAAGTTGCATACGGTTGGAAGCAGGCCAGTATAGGGACTGTGGCCCTTAGGATTAGATAGAATCCCTATTAGAAAGACTGGGTTTTAAAACTGATTTCATCTCTTACCAGTTCCTGGACAGTTGTGTAATATTAAATAAATTACTTCTTCTCTGAATACAAGTTTCCTCTCCAAGTAAATATTAAAATAAGCTCCTTCATCGAACTCTTGGCAGCTTGTTTTGTCTTACGCAGCGTTGGCATATCCCACTGTTGGTACTGCTCGTAGGTTGAAGACAGTTTTGCGTTGTAAAGAATGTACACCATATGACTTAGTAGCCACTGGCTTGTTGGTAAAGACTCCGAGATGGTGGTAAATCAGCTCATAGTTTTTTCTTTACCGTGGACTTCCTGCCGCACTTCTATGTAGGTACGTACTTTATTATAAACTCTTGAGTGTAAATGAGGTCATTATATTCAAGAATTTACTAGTTCAGTTATTTTGATGTCGAAGCCTAGTAACTGTTTTTGAAAAAAAATGAAAATGATACAATAAGATTTTTTTCTTTAGGGGCACTTTTGCATGTTTTGGCAGGTTTAAAAAATAAAAAACTAATATTGTTCTTCCATTTTGATCTTAAAGTAATGAAACGTTTTTGTTTCTTTTGCTGTGTTTTCAAGTGTTGCTTGTAGGACAAGGCTCACTGCCTTATGGTTACTTTTAAAATTTAATACTTAAAGGAATTAATCTAAGTCTCTTTTCAGGAGAAATAAGATTATTTGGAATAATTTAACTTAAGAGAAAAATAAGGCTTCTTTTTTAACCCCTTCTACAATTTCTAAGTTGTAGAAATTTACTATTTTGTTTCTTTGAATAACTTTCTATAAAACAAAAAAAAACTAAAAAAAAAAAAAAAAACAAAAAACTCAATATAATAGAACTGCTTGGGCTTAAATCTTTTTCTGCAAGTAAGTGTACCGTAAATCATGTAAAGAAAGATAACCATAGGCATTTCATCAGAAGGCTAGTCTGAGTATTTTCACATCTACCTCTTTCATCTTACCCCTTATTTCTCATTTCCAAAATATTTCTTGTGTAGTTTACGTTTGGATCGTGCTTATTTGAAGTCTTCCGTGTTCTAAACACTATATGTTATATACTAATAAAGACTTGAAAATGTGAGGCAGCATTTTGGTAGTGAAAATTTCTCTTGTACGTTGTGAAATGGATTTTGTTGTTGGTCTGTTTTCCTAGGGAGCCTATTTTAGGAAAATAAAAGGAACAGGGGAAGGATGGCCAGAACAAAGTGGGGAGTAGACTATGGGGAGTGATGGCAAGAGCACATGCCATTCTACCAGTGACGTGTTTTTTAAACATAAATAGCATATGTGCCAAATTTACATATTTACTAATTAAAAAGGCTTCCTGGAAACATTAGGTAGACTATCTTCTATAACCTTTAACACTGTCACTAATGGATATAGCTTAGAAAATTTCCTCGAAGGTCCTTTAAATAATGTAAATGATTATGAATATGTAACTAGTTAATATGCAGCTACGAAAGGATTATCATGTAGAGGTTAATGAACATTCTGCTCTTATGGTTTGCAGGGCTTTGCTTTCTGTGCTTTTGGCTCACTTCATGCTTGGAAACACATGCATTGGGATTGGAAAACATCCTGACTGTTTTTGGGTCTCATCTATTAATGGGGTTGTTAAATAGGAACTTTATAAAAAGGATTTCATGAACATTTTTTTTCCTTTTTTCAATTTACATTGAATTCTGTTTGTCTGTTTTGTAATTACTGCCAAATCAGAAACAGTGAAACGGGTTGATGTAGTTTTAGCTTGGCTCTTCCAGATGTAAAGTCAGTACTCTATTATATATTGCCACTGTTATTAAGTGTTGCTATGTGATTGATACTTACTGAGAGATCTTCATTCTAAAATGGACTTTTTATGCTGAGTTAATGTGTAGTATGGTTGAGTTTCTGAATATAGCATGTATTTTGGTACAGGATTGCTGTCTTAGTATTTAAAATGTCCCCAAAGAAGACATCTATTTCAGGAATTAAATGTTATAATAGAGGAATTTAGTGACAGGTTTAAAAAAAAATATTACGTTTTTTTTTTTTTTTTTGGAGGTGGTGTGAAACATTGAGCATACACAAGAGATAATATTGGCATTTAGAGCAGTGAACTAGAGCAGCGTTTTGCAAACCAGATAATGCTGCTGTCTTTTTCACATGGCCTAATCTTAAGCATTTTGGCTTTCATCTCCTAGTGTCTCTGTCCCTAAAATGATGCTATGGTATTCTAGTCTGCTGTTTAAAATTTTTATTAATAGATAATTTAAAAGTAGAGATAATTAGCAATCCTTGAAAATAGTGTTAATTTTTAAATTGTCTTCAAAAATAGTGTTATTTTTTAAAATTGCATTTTTCTTTATTGACTAAGTGTTCTTATTTTCTGAGCATTTTGAGAATGTACTGAAATATCTCCAAGGAAAACAAATAACTTTTGTGCTTAATTTCATTGTTATAGTATTATAAACATAGCTTAAACTGTCTGTGAAGTGCTTACAATCTTTATCATAATTCACTGGGGAACAAATGAGCTGTTCAGAGCATCTCCTTATCCCAAGTATTTCTTCTTGAAAATGTAGTAGAAAAATATCACTGAATTCATTTTTTAATGCGTCAGAATAAAAATTACAGGTGAAAATGTTTGGAGATATACTGACAAAATAAAGTATTTTCACTACTGTCATTTCTTTTTTTTTCTTTTTAACTGATGAAACGTGGATGTTACATTGGTTTCTTGTTATTTATAATATTTACGTATTCTACAAAATGTGTAATACTGAGAACAGGTCTGTAGATTGTACAAAATACTAGTTATCTTATATCATTTGTCACCTAATAGTTATGAAGCGGGTTTTGTACCAAAGTATGAATCAGAAAGCTGTAATTTGTTCTGCAGTTATCAGCCCGCATTAGAGGGTTATGATAAAGTGTGCTGCTTAAAAACCAACATTCACATCTCTGTGTGCTTGACAAATAAAAATGTATACTGAGATGCCATTAAATCTGTAAAGCCACTGTTCTTGTTTTCAGATACACTGATTTTTGTAGCTCTGTGCATAGCTCTGTTTTTTTTCATGAGTAGTTATCTGTTTTCATGACAGGTGGTCACTAACTGCCAAGAGAAAATCCAGCATTGGTGAGTGAAAGATGGTTTTATTACACTTCTGAAATACTGATGGGGTAACCTACTTGTGTTTAAATAATGTGTTTGCTGTTTGTGTGTGTATATGTGACCAGTAATTGAATTCTTCTAGTAAGCTCCATTTTGAATGCCTTTGGTACTAATTTATATTGTCTTTCACCCTTTTCTGAATTACACGTTTCTGATTTTCTGACGTTGTGTTACTACTTGTGTTTATTCTGAGTGCCTTCTTTCCTTTCTTTCTTTCTTTCTTTCTTTTTTTTTTTTAAGTTAGAATACTGTTGATATTATGAATTGGAGACTGAGACATTTTTGAATGTAATCATAGTTCTTTTTTGGAGATATTTCTTACATTTTAGTGGAAAAACAATTGGAATCAGTTACTTTAAAATAATGATGGAAATAGGGCACAGAAATGTTTTCCCAAAGTTTGAAAAAAAATCAAATTGTCTACTTTTCAGAGCTTGTTTTATTGACTGTACTTGTTTTTTTTAAAGAGAGAAAGCATTATCTACTTTAATGTGCTAATCTATAGTTAATAGGACCACGTTTGGTAAATAACACACTTTCCTTTGGCTTCTGAGGAAAATGCTCAATTTAATGGTGAATAAAATCTTATATTATGAGTTGTCATGAGGTATAGCTGTTGATCTTACAGATATCAAATTACAATATATCCATGCTGTGCTTATGAAGATTTTACTGAGAGAACAACAGGAGCTGTCTTGATTATTGTCTGCAGGGTTATTTCAAAAATCATGGTAACTGCCCCTTTAGTGGTGAGATTAAACCTTCGGTTATACACCATCAAGCATATAATATTTTAAATTTATTTTAAGAGGCTTTTTCTTCATGCCTGAGAGATCTCCAAGGAAATAATTTATAGTTAGTGTATATCAAATGTTTTTTGGTTTAAATGCACATAGGCTGCAGGCAGTGGATAAGAGTGAAAATCAGTGCAATCTGTACACATCATCTTATTAAATTTTGACTGTTGGCTTGCAGAAAATAATCTAAAACTAATAATACCCACTTTATAAATAAAAATTCAGGACTTCATTAATTTTCAATAAATGCATCGTTGTAGTTGCTTCCACTGGTGGTGTAAGTCTGTCAGCATTTCCATAATGGTCCATTGGCCTTTCATTATACATTCAGTTCAGGTTAAAACTTGAAATACAAGTCCTTGGCCAAAGAATTTTTTCCCCAGCACATTGAGTCGGAGTGGCCCATTTTACAAATAATTTCCAGGGGAAGTTTTGTTAATGTGGACTTCTATCTATTGGTTTTGGTAAGAAGCTCAGGAAATTAGAAAGGTATTCACTGAGAATAGACGCTAGTTTACATAAATGGGTGAATAGTAACTTGCTTGTGGTTCATTTTATAAGATTCTTATTAGAGAGTTCTTTAAGGATAAAGGCACGTTTTCATCCATTTATTCACAACCCCTACTCTGTGTTTGGTTCAGAATAGGCACTTAATAAATGTTTGGGTAAATGAACACCAAATATATGGTTATTTTCTGTATCACATCTTAGTTTACAAATGCTCTAGTAGTGCTCAAGTCTAGTGAGCAGTGACAGAAATGTGGCATTTACTTGACGACAGGTTCAGGTAGCCCTCAATTTCATGTTTCAGTTTTTTAAAACCCTCTAAACTATAGAAGCTTAGCATTTTTGCCTATACATATCTTGAAGTAATACAGTACTTTATACATTAAAAAATTAAAGTTATTTTTTTCCAGTTAGAATTTGCATTTTCCTCTGAATCATTTCTGATTTGGTTCAGGAAACAGACTTTTCTGTTTGCTTTTAATGAGGATCTGTACATGGTATCATATTGCTCAAATCTGAATGGTCAGTAAGTTTATCAATTCATTATATCAAAAAATTGAGAGCAAAGTGTCTGCATTTCCCTGAAAGCCAGGAAATTGCTATTTGGGAGCATGGTGGAATTCTTGTGATATTTTTGCATTCTCTTAATTCCACAAACAATGATTGAGTTCCTACCATATGCCAGTATTGTGCTGCTGTTTAGAATTGAAAGACCCTGCCTTGGAAGAATTCACAGTCAGACATTAAACAGGGAAATCACAATAATTTTGTGCTACTTGCAGAGATAGGAAGCAAGTACAGGAGTTCAGAGGCTGGAGCCATTCTTAGGGTGTCTCACACACTACTTTTTAAAGCATGTTGCTTTAATTCTTACTTAACCCTTGGTATTAGCCTAGTGGAAAATACAATTTCTGTTAAGCTCCTCTTCTTTATGGGTACATACCGGTATAATAAAGAAGAATAAAATACATGATTTGAAAAATGCATTGTTATGCCAGTGATGTTTATGCTTTGTTTGTGTAATTTTTTTTTTTTGTTTGTGTAATTTTTAAAGGATTCTTTAAGGAACAAGAATGTATATTCTAGGTTCAGAAATAATCTAAATTGTTTTTTGTTTAAAAAAAATGTAGGACAGGGAGTCAAAATATTTGTAGAAAAATAGGAGTGACAATGGCTTGGGACCACAGGATCTACCCAAAAAAGTCTTTAAGAAAATTAATTTAAATCCTGGAACTTTGGTGAACTGAGACATTTATAATATTTGTTTACTTAATAACAGATAAAAAGGAAAGATCCAAGCGTAGCGGTTGAGAATTTGTATGACGTTATTTTAGAGCTAATAATAATGGTTTTCAGTTTAGTGAGGATTTTAAAAATGTTTTTTAATCATACATTTTTTCTTTATAATCTCTTTTACTTAACTCAGGAAATAAGGTATTCTGAAATTCACACACTGTCATCTCATTAAAGTATGAAGATACTTCCCAATGTTTGGTCCACTAGTGGCTGATCATTTGTGGATTATTTGTAATTTTCTTTCCAATTCTTCCTTAAAGAGCATGGCATTTGGAGTCACAGACTGTATTTGAATCCTGTCATTTATTAACGTTTTGACCTGAACAATTACGTTAAGAATCTCAGTTTTTTTCTTATAAAGTGATGATGATACACTACTTAACTCACAGGGTTGTAGTGAAGATCAAATGAGATCATGTCTATAGAACACTCTGCCTGGCACTCAATAAGTATTAATAGTAGCTCATATGTCTCTTTTGAAAATTTTAATTGTCAGACAAAAAAAAAAAGCCAGTGCTTTGTAAATATTTGTGAATATTTAGTGTTTATTCCATTTTTTGTAATGATGGAGAGAGAGTTGGCCCTCTGTGAATTATTGTTATAGCTTTACATGAATGTTTTAAAATCACATTTTGTTATGAAGAGTTCCAAGTAAGAGGTGATAGAGTAGTATAGTGAATCCTCATGTACTCATCAGCTTTGATAATTATCAACTCATGATTTTCTCTAAACTGTTTCAACATCTTACCTTGCCATCTACTCCTGCCTCCATTTTTTTTTTTTTTTAAACTTTTTTTAGATTCGGGAGGTACGTGTAGAGGTTTGTTGCAAAGGCGCATTGCGTGATGCTGAGGTTTGAGGAACAGTTGAACCCATCACCCAGATAGTGAGCGTGGTACCCAGTAGGCCGTTATTCAGCCCCTGTCTCTGCCCTTCCTCCCTGCTCTTATATTTCCCCAATGTTTATTGTTCCCATCTTTATGTCCATGTGTCCCCAATGGTTAACTCCCACTTTAAGTGAGAACATATAGTATTTGGTTTTCTGTTTCTACATTAATTCATTAGGATAGAGGCTTCCTGCTGCATCCATGTTACAGCAAATATTTCTTCTTTTTTGTGGCTAGTAGTCCATGGTATATATGTACCACAGTTTTATTATCCAGCTCACTGTTGATGGGCACTTGGATTGATTCCATGTCTTCGTTGTTGTGAACAGTGCTGTAGAGAACATACAGGTGCATGTATCTTTTTGGCAGAATGATAATTTTGGGGGGTGGTCTATATTTAGTAATGGGATTGCTGGGTTGAATGGTTGTTCAGTTTAGTTCTGAGAAACCTCCAAATTGCTGTCTACAGTGGCCCAGTAGTCCCACCAACAGTGGAAAAACATTCCCCTTTTTCTGCAGTACTGCCAACATCTGTTTTTTGTTTGTTCATGAGACAGAGTTTTGGTCTTGTTGCCCATTGCCTGTGCAATGGCGTGATCTTGGCTCACCTCAACACCTGCCCCCCGGGTTCAAGTGATTCTCTTGCCTCAGCCTTCTGAGTAGCTGGGACTACAGGCATGCTGTGCCACCACACCCAGCTAATTTTGTATTTTTAGTAGAGACAGGATTTCTCCATATTGGTCAAGTTGGTCTTGAGCTCCCAACCTCAGGTGGTCCGCCTGCCTCGGCCTTCAGAAGTGCTGGAATTACAGGCATGAGCCACTGTGCCTGGCCTATATTTTTTGACTTTTGAATAAAAACTATCCCACCTCCAATTTTGAAATGAATCTAAGTCATATCACTCCATCCAGAAATACTTTGGTGTATGTCTTTAAGAGATAAGAAAGACTGTATATTAACTTTTAAAGATTTAAATAAAAAATTTTAAATTAGGCAATACATTTACGTGTTTCAAAATTTAGGAAGTATGAAAGGATGTCAATGGTTCCTTCTACCTTTGTCCCCTAATTCTCAGTTCTGTTTTCTTTTTCTTTTTGAGACAGAGTCTTGCTCTGTCGCCCAGGCTGGAGTGCAGTGGCGCAATCTTGGCTCACTGAAACCTCTGCCTCCCGGGTTGAAGCGATTCTCCTGCCTCAGCCTCCCAAGTACCTGGGATTTCAGGCACATGCTGCCACGCCCGGCTAATTTTTTGTGTATGTTTTAGAAGAGACAGGGTTTCACCGTGTTGCCAAACACCGTGACTGGTCTCAAACTCCTGAGTTCAGGCAATCCACTCGCCTCGGCCTCCCAGAGTGCTAGGATTACAGGCGTGAACCACTGGGCCTGGCCCCTCAGTTCTGTTTTCTGGAAGCAACAGTTTTTACCAGTTGCTCAGAAATCTTTTCAGAAATGGTTTGCATAACGTAAGTGTTTGTGT